ATTCTGGCCAGAATCGGGCCGGAACACACTGCATCTAGTGTGAATGGGCCCTTAAAGGAAAGCCCAGTCTGCAAGCCACAAACTTACATAGCACTCCTGAGAGGTCACTGCTTTGTGATATCGGACTGAAATTGTAAGCCTAAAGACAGAGAAATGCTGGGGTATGTTCCCGACACTCAGTACTTATAAACCTACTTGGATTAGCAGTGAAACATATTTAACATTACAGGACAGGTCCAGTTAACCGACTAAACATTTGTGAGAAAGAAATGTGCAATAAAAATATTTTACATTGATTATTAAACATACATACAATACCAGGTTTCTACCAAATATAAATTATGAAACTGTGTCACAGGGGATTTAAAGTGCACCTTGGCCCAGACTATGGACATTAAAGTACTTGCATGTTCTTAAAAAGTAAATGCTTTCAAACAAGCTCTCATTGACCTCTCTTGCTGTTTAAATTGTGAAGTTATTCATTCTCTAGATTGAAGAAAATAGCTCACCAGCACTCCATAAGTTAAAATGAATGAGTCCTTTTAATGGACAATGATGTCACAGAAATCCAACATGAGCCGACGTTTCGGGGCCACACAGGGTCCCTTCTTCAAGGCAAGAGATGTGACCCTATTCATTCTCTAACATCTGCACAGATTTCTGTTCGTTTCTAACAGCTTTTAAACATCTGCTGTGTTTACAGTAAGACTTGGAGGCCGATAGGATCTGCTCTCCATAAAAACTATTTCAGTGCTTCTGTTGTGAACTTTGAAGACAATTTTCTCTACAATGCTCTAGCTACAGAGGTTAATGAGGAAATTGTCATTGTATTGCTTGTTTAGACAATGTAGATCCTTAATGTGCAGTGGGCACAGGTTAACTTTAATGCTGCATTGAATCTTTGACAACCATTACTGTAATGCACCCAGGCTGTAAAAACAGTCATAAGCAATGGCTTTTACCAGTCATATTTGCTATAAAGAAAACCCTTTGTGCTACCAGCATGCCAGAGTCAGACCAATGTGCAACAAAGGGCAGCAGTTCAACTTGTCACCTGCCCAGTGCACAAGTCATCAGTGCTCACACTTCCTTTGCCTTAAAGTGACAGTAAAGTCAAAAATGTTTTTCCCTCCCCCAATGTTAATGTTAGCACTTACCTTAAATTATGTCTCTTAATCCGATCTTCCTCTTCTTCCTCCGTCCAGTGGTGCGGCAGCTCTCCGATCCAGCGCTGACTCTGCTTGCTGGCAATTCCAATCCCGCGGTGTCTGCATGCGGGTGCACGCATCGATAGACTTACCTTGCGTCTCCCAGCCAAAAATCCAAACTGCGCATGCGCCTGCCCCAAGATGCTTTGCGGCCGCCCGAGCAGTTCCGGATTCTTGGGCGGGTGCACGTGGCGAAAACCGGGTAAGTTTAAACCGCTGTTGGAAGCGGTTTTTTTTACATATATCTCCTGCTTGCTAGCAGTAGATGTAGGCAAACAAAAACGGGAGTGTTTAGAAACCCTTTAAATGTGCTAGGTTCTCTTGCCACCCACACCAATGAACACTGCATTACTAAGAAAATAGCCCACTAAATACTCCTCAGAAATAGACACTTCAACGGTGTCCATGTCCTAGTCCTCTGCAGATTGCAGTGGTTCCCCCTCATGATCCCCAAGTTACTACAGTAAAACGACAGAGGTTGGCGGCTGAAGTCGCTGAGCATAGCAGGAGACCAAGAATCAGACATTCCCACAAGGGTCAGTTTCTAGAAAGTATTCAGTGGGGTCCTCTCTATATTTCAACCACTTGTTTACACTCCCTTCCTGTCCAGGCCATTTTTCAGTATTCAGCGCTGCTGTACATTGAAATTAATTTTAGAGCTTTTTTTGCAACAGATACAGCTTTCTTTTGGTGGTATTTAAATCACTACTGCGGTTTTTCTTTTTTTTACTATATATAAAAAGTAGAGAAAATTTAGGAACAAAAAAAAACTGTTTTCCTATGCTGTAAAAGGATTATTACCCAATTTTTCAGTAAAAAATAAAAGGCGGGCTCATGTCTGGTAAATAGACACCAAACATGTGAAGCTTCAAAATTGTGCACACCAGTGAAATCGTAAAAAACTATCAGTTTAGTGTTTAGTGATTGATGGCCCTAAAATTATTGCTCACACTCCAACCTTAGCGGTGAAATGTGTGGCGCAAGTATAGTTTTCGCATGCAGGACTTTAACCATTTTTTTAAGGGACTAATTTGTAATTCATTTTTATTAAACTTTTTTTTATTTAACTTTGCTTTCACGTAGGGGGCTAAAAAAAACCCTGTGCCATAGCCAATATATAGTGACCAGTCCTCTTTATGGAGACATCAGGGGTCTCCAAGACAGCTAATGTCGTTTAGGGACCCCCTGCGAAGCTAATGAAGCAGAGATCTGCTTCACCAGCTTCTGTGGCCAGAGAATGACAGCTGAATGCGGAAGTGATGTAATATACATCACTTCCTGCATTTAGAGACCGGAGAGGAGGTCGGAGGGAGGTCAAATACTGGTCTTCCTCTGATCTCCAGTGACAAAGCTGCTGTGCCGGTGCCAGAACACACCGGGCAGAGTGGAACTCAGGATTGGCAGCAGCGGAGGCCGCACACCCGCAATACAAGCGATCGGGCGTCTCTACAGACACCGCTGGCTGTTTATAGTTCAAGCAGATTTGTCGTAGGTGGCAGGCACAGACGGGGCCGGAAACGACTTCTAAAAATGCCCACCTGCATTTAAGAAGCCACCGCCTGGCCATTTAATTACAACAGCCAGACAGCAAGTGGTTAATGGTGAGCCATTTCTGTCTCATTGCTATTAACCACTTCATGACTGGGGGCAAAACAAATATCAATGTCTGAACCCAGTTCTGCAACTTTGGCATGTGTTAGTAAAACTGTACATACCTTTGTAACTACTTTGTGTATCCAGGTAAAATAGACTGTTTTTCATCACAAATTGGGCCTTCATTTGGTAGAATATTAATAGATATATCCCAATTTTTTTTTTACCAAAGGAAAACTAGGCCAGAATATTTTGAAAATTGCTTTTTTTATTCAGCTGTATCCATCTTGCCATTACCTTGACCTACCACCAAAAATAAATCCTTCTACTCCTGATGTTTATGGAGATGTGTGCCGTTATTTGAACCTGTAGAAGGGCCTAAAAACAAAAGTGCATACTGCATTTTGGGTTGTGCACTGTGGAAAAATGCAGCATGCTGCATTTTTTTGCAGCGCACTGGATGCCACCGCAGATCGCCACGCTTCTCTGCAGGAATCTGAAGTGTACACAGTTTTAAAAAAGTGTACACAGTGACGGCTCCAGCAGTGCCGAATACAATGCACACTGCTGGAGCTGCCACAACGCACTAGCCCAACCACTAACACATTGGGGGACATTTATCACAACTGGAACAGACAGAATCTGGAGCTGTTGCCCATGGCAACCAATCAGCATCGCTCTACAGTTTGCTCAGGTAAGATTTGAAAATGAAAAGCCGATTGGTTGCAGTGCAAATCTGTTCCAGTTTTGATAAATACCCCCCACAGTGTTTTAGGGGACAGGCTAGTGTGAAAGGGCCCTAAATAAACTTTAAAACACTAACCCTGACCTAGTCCAGGCTCTGATCTAGCGGTTTTACTTTTTTTAAAAGGGGTAATCGATTGTCTTATTCGGCTGCTCCAGTCTTCGTAAACTCCCCTCACTGGATGCCATTTTCAGCACAGAGGAGAAAGAGATGGGAAGGGTCCTACAGCTAATGATAAGGAGTACAAGACCCGGAGCAGTTGGTAACAGAACAGTCTCCTTGCTGAGAGCACACTATGGTGCAAGCTTCCAGCACAAAGACTGGTGCACATATATGCAGCACCTAAGAAGAAAGACCACTCCCTTTGATGTAGTATGCGTGTGTCACACGGTCATAGAGGGTTCACATTTGGACAGAGTCAGAACCTCTGCAAGATTTTCAAGTGATCCATGTCACCATTCTGCTGGTTCTGGGGAACAATGTCAATGAAAGGAGCGCAAGGTCAACATTTCTATTAGACAACATAACAGCGATGGTCTAGGAGGGCATATCCTTTACTTTGGTGAGATTTCAGCTTACTTCCTGCTGTGACAACTAGAGAGGAAGTAAAGGCAAGGCTGCCCAATGGAGCACACATGGAAAACCAATCAGACAGGGGCTTTAATAATTTCCTACTCTAGCCAAATAAATGAAAAAGAAAAAAAAACTAGCTTCAGATACACTTTAGTGTGGTACTAAAGGCAAATTTATTTTCTATTTTAGAAAAAAGGAAGGCAATTTTATAACGCATCAGGTTTGTTTTTGATGTGTCCCATTGAGATCTCCCTGCACTTCCTCTCCCATGGCCACAACAGGAAGTTAGGAGACCTCTACAAAGTGAGGGAAATCTTCATCGTTGCCAGAATCACCTGAACTAGTGTCCCCATTGGAAGATTTTGCCTAGATTCCTGTTCTGGTGGCATCTCAATGTGCAATTTTCTTTCACCTTCAGTAATAAAATTGACGAGGACAGAGAGGGTCAGTCTCTCTAATGGCGACACAGACAGCATTAAAAACTCAACAGGTCTTCTAATCCCTCCCCACGCCATCAAAACCAAACAATAAAAGTTCTACTTTAAGAACAATGATTGAGGGGTGTGTCCACATAGTCGTCAAACATAGGTACTGCTGCATCTATGGAAGGACTTCAACCCCTCACCACACAAATGAGGAATCTGATAAAACTACATCAGTTTCTAGTGCGCCAAGTTTGTCCCCGGAGACCTCGCCACCTCACAATCTGGAAACCGGACAAAATACCGGCTTAATCAACCTGCAGCTTATGGGAAATGAAGTTTAAGCGCAACCACCCCCCATGTGACCTAATCCTGGCATGAGAGCGAGAGAACTAACATTCCCGGCATTCCATGCGCCACATTGCCCGGGCCTGCTATACATTCAATGTCCCCGCTCACCCGCGGTTCTGGCGGCGCCGGCGCTCCTCTTTTTATTCTTAGGCATGTTTGCTGCCCCGCAGTAGCCGCTCCTCTCCGCTCCGGTTCCCGGTGTCCGGCGATGCCGGTGGTTTCTTTCTGTATTGCCGCGGTGTAGTATGAATCAGCCGATAGATGAGCACTTTTTACTAAAGCGTCTCTCAGAAATACGGCTAAAATGAGCTATCGGTAGAGGTTCGAGGTGTCTGATAGTAGGATTGGTGACTGTAACTCCGGTGAATAGCTGTAGATGAAGACGACACATTTTACCTCTGAACACCTCAGGATTAAACGCTGTGTGCCACCGCTCGGCTTATATAGATTCGGTCGTGACGTCACCCTGAGCGAAAGCAGGGATTCACCAATCCGGAAGCGAGAAGCGTCCGCACGGTGCACGCGGCTGTGGTGACGGAGAGGGGGCGGGCCGAGCTTGTGCTTTCCTGTGACTGGAATAATATGGAAGGAATGTGTCCACTGTGTAGCCATTTACAGTTGATACCATCATTCTGACGGTGATATATCAGTCAGAATTCTGTATTGGGAGTGTAATAATGCATGGGGGATGCACAAAGGGTGTGAGGTGTGACAGGATACATCAGTTATACTTAGGAGAATTACCGACAAATGGGGATTTTCTGATTTTCCCAGGATAAAGTTATTAGGCCTCATGCACGTGGCAACACAATGTCAATTCCTGTGTCTTTGCCTCACCAGGGAGCCACAGCACACAGCCTCCCATAGAAGTCAGTATCTGTACACAAGTATATGCACAATTAAGCGGGCCACAAGCCTTGATCGAGGAATCTCCCGATGTCTTCATTGTATTCTGCCACTGGCTCATTTCTGACCAGCTTCTTCAATCAACTGATTGAGGGGTTCCAGCCGAAAGGATGCCGACAGTGGCGCTCACTGTGTAAATTGAGGCTGGTTCATCAAGAACCGGATGAAATTCACATTGTGTATGGACAGCTTAAAGGCGACCATGTGCATAAGCCCTTAAAATGAACCATAAAGCAGAACTTGGGGTACACTTACCCTACAAATGTGCCTTTTCCAGAGCTGTCAGATCCATGTTTGGTCCTCAGCTCTGTCCCCCATCGCCACTATCATTTCCAGGTTCTCGGTAGTCCACTTTGACCATTGGGTGGCCAGTGATGATGCATGCACACAGGAGTCACATCCTCCCCACCACATGACCCATTCACACTGAGCTACATCACATAAACGCTTTTCCATAGCTGATTTGAGTTGAGCTACATTGCACATTTTGTCGCACTACGTAGTGCTTCTTTTGGTAGTCTATCAAAGCCTATTGGGGCCAAATCTCACAAAATCCACTGGAAAAATAGGTCATGTTTGAGCGACAAGCTTGAGCTACAAGCTACGGGTGACATTGAGCTGTGAGATGTGAACAGTTCCATAGAAATGCATTAGACGAGCTACATTGAGCGATTTTTGAGCGAAAATTGCACTACAAATCGCTCAGTGTGAATGGTGATTGATGCCCGGTGCAGACCTCCGCGATGCAGAATCGTGCAGTCCTGCACAATGCAGGGTGCGCTTGCCGCGCGGCTTCAAGCCACGATCCTGTTCGGAAGCGGGAAACCACGCGATCCGCCCGACGCGACTGGGGTGCCATTAGAAAATAATGGCGCCCACAGCGCGATCGGTTCACACCTTGGCAACTCCTGACCACGCAGCAATCCGTGAGGTGTCGCCTGAGTGTGCACCGGCCCTTAGAGATGCCATGAATGGGCTGAGTGTGTACACAGCAATGCTGTATACAGAAAATTAAAAAATTGCTAGGGGATAGAGGAAAACATTTTTTGGCAGGAGAGATGTTGCGTGTCTGCCACAGCCCAAGTCTCACATCGCCATCTTGGTTCTCCTCAGTCTTTGGGACCCAGCTTTCTTTTCCAGGTTCAAGCAGCCGGCCCCTGATGACACCTGTCAAGTCTGCCCAGCAGCAGCTGTGTGTCCCTGCTTCTGCAGCCTCTGTGCACAATTTGTGCACAGAAACGCAAAATAATACTCTTTTTAAAAAAGATATAAAACAAAAGATGAGGTTGTGCTAAGTAAACGGAAGCTTGGCACAGTGGGAAATTTCTCCAGCCACACAGTTTAGCGTAGATGGAGGAATCTGTTGCACTTTTTCCATCTGACCATAGACAATCTGAAGATAATCTATAGGTGTATGGTCAGCTTTAGGCTCCTTACACACAAGCCCCATCCACACATGCCCTTTTGATTGGAGAACTATGGAACAAATGTCACTTTTGTGATCTTGCAATGGAGGAAAAAACTGAACTAACTGGACCTGTGTTAGGTCTATGGGCAGTCGAATTTAAGTGGACAGGTGTCCCATTACATCCGATTACCTCCAATCCATCCCGTTCCAGACCACCAATACGGAACTCTGTTGCATTTTTTTTGCAGACGTAGACACAATCAGATGTAAATGGAGGCACTCTAAAGGTGCCCATACACTGTACGATTATCGTACGAGAATCGTGGGAAATCCCGCAATCGTACGATAATCGCAAAGTGTATGGAAGGCGTTACTTCAAACCCCAGTACCCCCTTTCCCGCCAGAATGATATAGCACGTGAAAGCAGAAACCCTGTAAAATAAAATGGCGGCAGTGGCAATTTTTTTTTATATCGCCTGATATTAGCACATATCAGTAAAAAATACACAGGCAGAGCTGCATGCTGATGTGATATTTAGGCATCATTTACAATTGCCACTTGCATTTTTGCTTTTTTTATATCCAGAGAAAAGTCTGTCGGGCTAGATGCTGTGTTTATGCTGCTAGATGCGTTAAATAGTGTGCGTTTACGTGTGTTCAGAAGTTAAAATCGATTTCTGGACGCACATGACTTCTATTTATTCTAAACACAGCTCAACTGACTGCAGATAAAAGTGTCTAAACGCAAAGTGCGGATAGAGCCATTGGAAATCATTAGATTCATATACTGCATATATGCATTTAGAAAACCATGTTAAACACGTATAATCGCACCTGATATAAATGTAGCCTTGGTGAAAGGGGATAAAGGCGCACATTAAGAAGGTTTGGACAATGTAAATAGCCAATAATAAGCCTAAATTCAAATCATACAATATATTTGAGAGTGAGATTTGTGCTAAAAGATTTCTATGTATTTATTGCAGGAAAAGGCCCAGTAGTGATGTAATAGGGGGATTACCGTATATACATTTTTTTTTATTTGTCACATAGTTAGGCGGGTTTTTAGAAAAAGAAACATGTCATCATGTTAAATGACAATCTCTGTGACATAGTCAAATAATCCTATACTCTGCTAGAACAATACATCACTTTTTTGTGTGCACTCTGCTGTTACCTTCATCTGACAGCAAGTGCATTGCATATAGCATAGTCTATTTTAAATGCCTGGAGCAATCCTGTAGCAGATACGGTCCACCAATAGGACATTTCTTCTAATGAGTTAAATCAGCACCAGTAATGGCTTTTACATTTAATCTTTATTCATTTTCAAATCTTTACATATATATATTTCTAGCATTTTTAGACTGCCAGCATATTATGCAGTGTAAGTTGGCATATAGAGCCAGTCACATAGATGAATACATATTTCAAATGAAGCTACAACCATACCATTTGAAGATAACATTGTCTTTAAAATATGTGCATACAGCAAAGGGATGAGGCAGTGCCTTGTTTCTGGGTGGATCAGAAGCTCTAAGGTAACCAGAGAGCCCCAGAGACAATATTCATTTATAGTTACTAGCCTCATGAACAACAAAGCAACAACTCTTACATACCTATGGTTTCACTGATTGCTGTTACTATGCTCTGGAATATATTTCCAGTTTTCCTTAACCTCATGCCAAATACGTGTTTGCATGTTCCAAGCCTACACTTGCAGGACATTTCATGAGATAAGAAGACGAGGTAAACCTTTTCACAGAACTAAATGTATATGATATTTGTGCTCTTTTTCACATTGTCTACAATTAGAATGAAAAGAAGTTTAGCTGTTTCAGTTTTGTTGCTGATAATAAGGGGAACAGGTGTATTTATACATAATTCTCTTCAGCTTCAGTAATGGGGGTTTTTTGTCAGATTATAAGTTTTTATTCAGTTTTACATATGTATTCACATGTATTAAGATGATCATTTATAGGGGTATACAGGTGTGCACGAAAATGCAGATTATGTCTACAAAAATCACACTGTCATCCAGAGGCGGTTTTTTAATTAGGCAACTTAGGCGGTCGCTTTAGGCCTCGCGCTCCGCCTAGTTTGCCCTGTTAGAAGCCAGGTAGCATTGTGAGCTCTCAGCCCTGTCGCTGTCAAACTGAGACTCTCCGTTTGACAGTGACAGGGCTGAAAACTCACCTGTTTCCTCGATCGTCGCACAGACCATCGGCTCGGATTCTGGACGGAGCTCCGCCTACCAGCCAAAGAGAAGAGACCTCACTCCTGGGAGGGTGGAGTTTAACTTCAGAAGCCGACGGAGACATCGTCCTGCCAGCTCCCTCCCACAAGACACGGCCAGCCCAGCACAGTAATGGAGTGGCAGCCTGGAGAGCCCTGTGGATAGCCCTATGGAAAGCAGGTGAGAGCCCTAGTTTAACCAGGACTCTGTGGGATCTCTCCAGTGCCCTGTGGGGTCTAACTAAGCCCTGGTGAGACCCCTGGTGAAATTCTGCAGAGCCCAGGGCTCTGTGGGGTCTCACCGGGGCTCTGAGGGGTCTAACCAGGCTGGTGAGACCCCACATAGCCATGGTAAGACCCCTTGGAGGCCTGGTGAGACCCCATGGAGCTCTGGTGAGACCCTACAGAGCCTTGGTTTAACCAGGGCTCTGTGGGATCTCACCAGGGCCCTGAGGGGTCTCACCAGGCTGGTGAGACCGCACATAGCCATGGTGAGACCCCACAGAGCCCTGTGAGATCCTACGGAGCCCTGGTGCTGGTTTAACCAGGGCTCTGAGAGGGTCTTACCAGGGTGGTGAGATCCCACATAGCCCAGGTGAGACCCTGCGGAGCCCTGGTTTAATCAGGGCTCTGTGGGGTCTAACCAGGCTGGTGAGACCCCACATAAATCAGTGGTGATTAAATACCACCGAAATAAAGCTCTATCTGTCCCCAAAAAATGGTATAAAATTCATTTCAGTACAGCGCTGCATGACGGAATAAACGTCAGTCAAAGTATCGCAGCGCTGAATACTGAAAAATGGCCTGGCCAGGAAGGGGGTCTAAACACCTGGTCTTGAAGTGGTTAACTAGGGCTCTGTGGGGGTCTCACCAGGGGTCTGTGGGGTCTCACCAGTCCCCCACAGAGCCCTGGTTAAGTCAGGGCTTTGTAGGTTCTCACCAGGGCTCTGTGGGGTTTAACCAGGACTGGTGAAACCCCACAGAACCATAGTTTAACCAGGGCTATTTAGGGGTCTCCCCAGGGCTCTGTGGGGTCTCACCAGACTGGTTAAACCCCACAGAGCCCTGGTGAGACACCACAGGCCTGAGTGGAGCCTCATGTTTAGGCTTCGCCTAAGGTCTCACAAACTCTAGAGCCGCCTCTCCTGTCATCATTTGGCTACACATCAATAGGGGATTCTAGCAGTAATCCACATCCAAGTGTAAAGTAGATACCTGATCAGTAGTTCTGGCTCTATCATGTAACATTTAGGAAATGTATGAGCTATGCGTCATTTTATCAGATAGTCCTGGAAGACCAGTATTTGAAAAATTGGAAATATTTAGGCACTTTTTTAAGATATAATACAAATGGGTTTATGTCATAGTTCAGTCTATAGGTGAAACCCTTTGTAGTTGCAAACATTGGCAATGTAAACAGAGCTTAGAAACAGAAAGCTGAAGTTATATGCAAACCTTGAATTTTGCTGTAAAAGTCAAATTTGCCCCACCTCTGGCTCCTCTCACACATAACTTTTAACCAGCGAGACTGCTTATCATACTAAGCAAAAATGGGGATACAAAGCCAAAATCTATATATTTTTTTTTAAATAAGTGCTACTAATAGTTCTGGAATGTTGCGTTACAATGCGTCACACTGTACTTTTTTTAAATCTTATTGAAATGTCACAAAATTACATTTCATTCAACTCTATGCACCACAGCGGCTGTTTATAGTAGCAATTTAGCTTTTAAATATTCCCTTGATTCAGAAGAAAGAGAAGAGCTTTGTCTGTGCTACCTCTGTGATGGCACTGTCTGACAATGAGCTCTTATATCATCTAATAGGAAGGATGACTTTACTCTATATAGAAATACAAATCTTGTAGTTCTTGCAGTTCCTGTATTATGGCTATGATATATCTAATTGTCTGTTATATATTCATAGTATTACAATGTAATTGATGTATTATCAGTATTACAATTCTATATAAATGTATCTATTTATTTCAACAGTTATCATAATACCTTCTTAGCTTTGGAATACATTTCCCCATTTGCTTGAAGAATTCAATCCAAAATGGGGACTGGGGCTTCTAAGAACCATTCCGTGGAGAAAGAAAGTGTGAGAGGCAATGTGGAAAGACCCAGCGTGGTGCAGAATGATTCCATGTCCACACTTGCTGATACTACTGCAATTAAACAACAGATTGAACATCAGAAAGTGGAGGATGAAGAGGTTTTAGAAGACATTGAAAGGATGGTACAACCTTGTCAAACACAAAATTATGCTGAACAGGTACATTTTATAAACCCTTTACACAGCAGTAACAGTGGTGAAAAATGTGAATAAAGGCATGCATAATAATAAAAAAAGGTAAAAACAGAATAAAATATTTATCACAATAGCAAAAATATGTACTTGTGATGAATACCAAGCCCCACAAGGTGCCTGTATGCAGCATCTGGTCCCTGAATATTGCCCCTGCATCCTGGAAAACCCAGGGTGCAAGTAACAACCTGCTTTCTGTCCCCTCCTACTCCATGCTCCTTAGGATTGCTTGAAGCGTAAGTAAACCACTTTGATTTTTTTTTGTTTTTGCCTGATGTGCAAGTATGCACAGCATACTGTTTCTCATTTACTTCCGCTTTAAATGTGGCCATCCATCACAGTGCTGAGCAAAGAGTATGTGCATAATTATGCACAGCACACTTGCACATTTGGGCACACAAACTTTTTTGAATTTGCATGTCTCTTCTGCCCCAAATCTCGACCTCCCAGAGATTTCTTTTGCAGGAGAGGCAAAGTAAGAGCTAGCAGCAGGAAGTGCTTGTACTATGCAGGGATCAGATGTGGTGTGCAACCACTTGGAGATGTCTGCTAGTAATTATTTTCCAGGATTTATGTAGCACCGACAGTTTGTGCAGCTAATTTACAATATAAGGAGGACATTACAGTTACAATAAAAGTCAAGACACGATGGTAAGGAGGGCCCCTGAGGGCTTACAATCTAAAAGGGAGGGGCAAGTGATACACGAGGAGGTAGCTGTGTGGGGATGAATTGTTTGAGAAAGTGATAGTTCAGTGGTTAGGTTGAGGGGGGATAGGCTTCCCTGGAAAGATGAGTCTTTAGTAGGGCTGTGGAAATTAAAGATTAATTTCTCGATTAATCGTTAAACTTTTTGATCGATTAAAATTATTTTGATCGCTAATGAAAACACTCACCTCTCCGCCGGCTTCCGGGAGTCCTGTCGGCGATCCTCCCCTCCCTTCCCCAAGTGGCTCTGTCAGCTAACGAAGGGAAGGGGGGAGGAGTCCGGTGACGTCGATGTCCATGAAGGCTAAGTAAGGGAAGGGGCAGGAGTCCGGTGACGTCGATGTCCGTGACGTCACCGGACTCCTCCCCCCTCTGTTAGCCAACGGAGCCACTTGGGCCGGTGAGTTTGCCCAATAAACTTTCTGCACGAGCGCCAACCAAGGCATTGGCCTATACAGATACAGCACAGCAATGAAGTAATAAAATGAACTAGGATCACACTAATCCAGCACATTATTAATCTCACGTGCCCCACTCAAGCGGCGGCCATATTGAGTGGGGGGGAGATTAATAACATGCTGGATTAGTGTGATCCAAGCTCATTTTATTACTTCATTGCTGTGCTGTATGTGTATAGGCCAATGTAGTTGGATCTGTATGTGCGTTATAATTAATGGAAATGTAATCGATTAATCGATTTTAAAACATTTCTATTAATCGAACACGAAAATTTTAATCATTACCAGCCCTAGTCTTTAGGGATCGCCTAAAGGCAGACAGAGTAGGAGATAGACGGACAGGTTGGGGTAAGGAGTTTTAAAGGATGGGAGAGACTCTAGAGAAGTCCCGGAGATTCGCATGGGAGGAGTTGACGAGGGAGCTAGAAAGCAGGAGATCTTGACAGAGGGGGGTTGCAGACACTGAGCGGTTGGTTAGGTGGATGAGTCTAGCAGCAGCATTCATGATAGACTGAAGGGGGGATAGTCTGTATAAAGGTAAGCCAATGAGGAGGGAGTTGCAATAATCAAGACGATTGAGTGGATGAGTAGCTCTGTGGTTTCATTGGTTAGGAAGGGGTGTATGAATGCCCATCCATTTAGATCCAGCCGTGCATATAATAACATTGGACTTCCAATCAAGTCTGTCTGAAAAACTAACAGGCTGACCTGATCAGAAGGCCTGTGTTCAAGGGGCCTAAAACTTCAACAAGGAGCAAAGATTAACTTTTTTCTTTTAATATGAGGTTGCTTTTACTGACATCATGAGCAGATCAGAGGAAACTCTTTTGATCTGTACATAAAAGGGGGGACATAAGAGGGGACATCTTTCAATGGAGCACTTTCTCCATGACAACTGAAAGATATTCTCTCACTTCCAGTTTTGTCTGAAGGGAAATCTCCCTAATAAGACAATGATGGAAAAAAATACTGATAGCAGTTTCAATCCTTCCCTACTCCAAAATGGAAAAAAAAGTTTTGTCTTTCATCAGGAAAATTGTAGCCCTTTCATAAGAAAGGACCAAAGCACCATTTGTGCACGTTTTTGTGTGTTGTGATTTCACAATTCACTTTTTTTGTTCACAGGGGATTCGTTTTCCAGCACGCTCCACGGGCTTTAAAAAAATTAAAATATATATATTTATTTCGGTCACACAGCAGGCTGCATGCATCTAAAATTAGCCGGTAGTACAGTAAAGATGTAATAAATATTTGTATATTTTCTGATATGTTTTCATGAAGAAAGAAGTTGTGAAGAGTTAGGTCATGTATATTTTGTGTACATTTATTAGCATTAATAAAAAGTATTGCTAAAAATGTTATGTTCTGCTTATGTTATCATCATTTACACATCTCCCCTCTATAAAAAGGGCAAACATGGTATACAAGATGCTCTGGAAACAGAAGATGTGTCACTGACCTTTGAAAGCTTTCAGCACAAAAATGGAACTCTCTACACATGTTTCACTCAGAATGGCATCAGAATGTACTTTGATGATGAAAAGGTGAATATTTTCCAGGTAGCTTTTATGTGTGTAGATTTTTTTTATTTGGAGTGTAACAAACGTAATTGTTATATTCTTTAAATTTAGGGGATCGTTACATTTCCTGAAGAACTGTACAGCCAAGGGAAATTCATTCACACTCAAAGTGAGGTAATTCTACTGTATTATTAACATTTAAAACAATACCCTAATGCCTTTGAAAATGATTCATTTTTTTATTTGTTAGTCATCTGTTACTAGGGAGCTACAACTTTTGGATTAGACATAGCCACTGGGTTATATGCAGCCACCCTTAGGTGAATGGAATTCACTGGCAAACACTGAATGATAGGCAGTCTCACAAAAATTGTTAGACTACCTATATAACTAACCCTATCCCCCACCCCCACCCCACTTCCAGCAATCCTCAGGTGATCCATCTTTACTGAGAGGTGGTGTCTGGCTTCTACTTCCACAAGCTATATGAAGATAAATCTTCCCCCAACCTGATTGCACCTAAGCCACTGAGGCTATTACGTTGCAGCTTCCAGATCGGTACTCCAGTAAGCCTCAGGGACCGTAGTTGGAACCTGCCACGTGGAAGACATGGGGCCAGTCTGTAATGTTGCTTAGGCACTGGACCCTGCGTGAGGTGCTCACCCTTGGTACATACAAGCAGCAAGGTGCGGTTTGCCGCAGGGTGCTGTACATGGCCAGAACTGTGGTCCATCCATCTGGTGAAGCCTTGTCCCTGAAGACCCCCTCTGTGAAGGAGTGGGTGTGCCCTACTGAAGTGGGTGAAGTGGGGAGTCTGTCGCTGTGATGGATCTATGGATCTTCAAGAGCTTCGGTGGTGAGTTGGGGCTCAGCCCCTCTTATACCTAAGGGTCTCCTTCCCCCCTCTCTACTATGGTAGTCCTTGGGGCCCCTGCCTTTGGGCATTGAGGGGTTGGCAGCACGACTATTGGTTCAGCAGAAGTGTATCTCACTGTGACACTTTAAATGATGTGTTGTAGACATGAAGTGCTGAGTGTGACGGACTGAACCGTCACCATGGCTGCTGGAGGAGCCTGAGGGCTAGCCTCCTTCCTACGGACTATGGGCCTAGGGCTGCAGAGATTTATTACCCCGGAGAACTTTGTGTGCTGTGTGTGTTTCCAGTTTAATATTTCATCTAGAGAGAGAACTTGTCACTATTTGCCTTGATGTGAACCATTCTTCTAAAGGCAGCAGGCTGTCTGGAGTGACCATTGTTTGCAATGATGGGATTAAGTTCCTCTCTAATTAGTCTCAAAGAGTGTCTGTGCTTAAAAGACTTCCAATGCGGCACCTAGCTGTCTGGGGGAGGGGACACACTGCACTCTAATCTGATCCTGTCAGGTATAAATTCTGTGCGCTTGCTTCAATAAAGCAGATCTTGGTTTCCACCTCAACATTGGTGTTGTCTAATGATTGAGTGGCTTAGCGTTCTGTCCTAATATATTGGTTCTGTCCAATAATTAGGCAGGTTTGGGCTGAGGACACTGGAATTCAGGTTCCAGCGGAGAGGAAGCTGTTTTCTGACGGAGGTACCCAGTCGGGGTACCAGGCGGTCCGTCACACTGAGTGACACTTTTGCCTATTGCGGTAAAGGTTTTGTTCGGAGGTCACTTAGTCCCACCCTGGACTTCAGAGTCGGAACATTCTTCTCAGGAGGGAGGTCAGTCGGCCATGATTTCCACCAGGCTGAAATAAACCATTACGGTTTTGGTGGACACAGTGTGCACATGTTTGTAGTTAGAAGTACCTCTGCACTTTGGCCCTAAGGTCACCAATATTGGTTATATGCAGAAAAATAACTAACCCACTAAGGCCTTTCCAGTCCACCCTCCGTTCATGATGTTTGTATGAGAACTGGCTGTGTCCACACAAGGTCTACATACCTCCTAAGAAGTTTGCTTAGCAATACCCTGTTGAGCAAGTTTACCACAAAAAGCAGAAGGTATTGGTAGTGGAGCCAGCTATTTCTTGCCCTAATAAGTCTTGGTTGAGGGCATTCTGCTATTTAAAGTCCGTGGACAAACGTTTCAAGGACCTACTTAAGGCTATGTTCACACCTGCACTACACCGCACGACACCCGGGATGCGCGTTGTGCAGTCCTGCACAATGCAGTCAGCGATTGCCACGCGGCCCCATTGATTTCAATGGGTGACATCTGCACGGCAATCTCAGAAAAAAAGGTACAAGTACCTTTTTTTTGCAATACCCGACGCGTGGCTGTTTTAGCCGTGTTTGGAAACAAGGGCGGAATCGCAGCTGAAAACCGCGCAATCCGCTGGCATGCCATTAGAAAATAGTGGCACCGACAGCACGATTGGTTCACACCTTGGCGGCTCCTGATTGACAGCAATCCGCGCGGAATCGTGCACGATTGCCACGCAGTGAGGCGTCACCTGGGTGTGAACCTAGCCTAAGGGTTTCTTTACTCTTGTGAGTGCTGCAATGCAATCGACTGTGGTTTCTATTGCCGTTTGCCAGGCCCTGGTGGTTTGAACCAAACATATGGCAGATCCATCGGTCCTCCAAAAGCTGGGGTTCCTTTCTTTCAGTTGTCCTACACTGCTGTCCTACTACTGCTCAACCTTCGAAGTGATACCTTTTATTGAATTCCATTCCGGGACTTTACAGAGGAACAATCTTACAGTATGAGACAAGTCTCCTCTATCCCTGGACAAGATGATCAGATTGAGTGCCCCAGCTAAGATGTCTCTGTCATGGGTGACAACCACTGTGTTGTCAATAGGGAAAGTCATTCCCACAAAACCTAATCAGAGCTGTCTCACGACAGTGATTGGATGGCCGCTTGTCAGTGGGAACCTCCGTTCGTCGATCCCCTCTCCGTTCTATGGGACCGGGAGTGATGCAGATTGCATTACTTCCGGTCCCATAGCGGTCAGTGCTGGGCTCCTGAAGCCCAGAAATAAGTTATTGAGATGCGATCTGCACTTCAATAGCTTATTTGGAGTGTAAAGGTGACACTGGGGGTCTTTCGGACCCCCAGCATCACCTTAAAGAGTACCTGTCACCACCATCTGCTATCACATGGGGGCCTTGTAAGCCCCCCTATGTGATAGCAATTAAAGTAAAGTAAAAAAAAACTGTTTTTAAAATTAACTTTAAATAAAATAAATGTGAAAATAATTGTAAAATGTTTTTTAAAGTCCCCGGCCCCTTGCGAGCATGCACATCTTCACGAAAACACGCATCGGGTGTGCCTACGTATGAATCGACGAACGCACTACACATGTTGAGTATCGCCGCACACGCCGAAGTGAGAGCAATAATTCAAGGGCCAGTATTTTTGGGTATCTCTAAACTGGTGACCTGTGGGGGCAGTGGCGTAACAATTGCCATAGCGACCCAGGCGGCCGCTATGCGGCCCGGGGCCCGGCCAGACGCCTGGGTCACTATGTCATCCTCTGCTGGTGGCTTTCACTGGCGGCTCTGAAGAAGAATGCGCTGCTGTTCAGATCACTGACCGTAATCTGTGCAGCAGCGTGTTCGTATCCAGAGCCGCTGCTGAGTCAATGAGAGCTAGCAGCGGCGGTGGAAGAGGCCGAACCTGGCAGTGGAGGAGGAGGCTGGGCCCGTAGTCGACAGCAGGGGAGGAGGCGGGGCTGAAATCACAGGGCCCCATACAAAATTTTGCTATGGGGCCCTTGTCGCAGTTTCGCAAACGCACGCAATTTTTAACATAGGCATGTTGGGTATCTATTTACTCGTTGTAACCTCATCTTTTATATTTTATTAAACAAATGGGTATTGTATTGTGTTTTGGGACATTTAAGTGCATTTTCACTAGATTTTGGGGTTTGATAAGGAGTTGCGCTAATATCGTGCAACATAAACATTTCCAAGTGCCACCATTTTAATGTTTGGGGGTTTTCAGTCATTTTCAGGCCTAAAATGTGGAATATAACATGGGTGCAAAAAATGAAGAAGAAAAAAGGGGTTAAAAACTTTTAAAATTATGTTTACATTTATTTTATTTAATATAATGTTTTAAAACTTGTTTTTTTTAAACTTTATTTAATTGCTATCACATAGGGGGTCTTACAAGCTCCCTATGTGATAGCATACTAGTAGTGACAGGTTCTCTCTCTAAAAGACCCCTAGTATCACCTTTCCACTCCAAATAAGCTATTGCAGTGCAGATAGCACTCCAATAGCTCATTGCTCGGCTTCTACAGCCGAATAATGACAGCTGAGGGACAGGAAGTGAAGGATCTCCTGGCATCTGCTAGTCATAGGGAAACTCAATTCAACCAAACTTGGTTTTATTGGACCAAATTTATTGCATTTCATGAATATAACAATTTGGTGGTGGATGTGTAGCTTTGGAATCCAGGGTATGGTGTTGCTGTGTGCTGGTGGAGGCTGGGGACTACCTATGTCTTATTTCCAGAGGGTCTTTAGACCAGTGTTACTACCTCTGCGGAGTGGTCTGGCGTGGTGTGTACCTGTTCTGCTGGAGGAGTCGGGGCGGAGAGATCTGGTCCCCACATCCCTTCCATCTGCTATCCTTTGCTTCTTTCTGTGCTTAGTTCTACTTCCCTTTCTCCTGTTTTCTCCCTCTTTTCTTCTCCCTATTCTTTCTTCTTCCCTTATTTTGTCTCTTCTCATATCAAGAATTCGGTTCACTCATAACCTGGCACTTATGCTTCAAGGGAATGTGGGTTTTGAACTGCCCTGCACATTAGATAGGCTGCACTTGGCTACTGTTTTGCATTGTGAATCTTGGTTTTTGCACACTTATTTGCTGCTTAATAATTGTTTTTCATATTACTTTACTACTATTGCCTCTTTGTATTCACTTGTAAGATTGAAAATAAACAATTTACAAAAAAAATTAAGAAAACCAGCATCACAGTGCCTGCCTAGCAGTTCATAAGGTCTGCAGGGTGGCTGAAAAAGAAATAAAAAAGTGGAAAGGAGCCAGTAGGTGGGTAATTTACAAAAGCAAAGTTACAAAGCTCATACTTTTTGACATTTTTTTACACGTTACTCTACTGTATGTTTTGTGGCTCTTGACTTGCTTTCTGTCACTGTTTTCATAGTACCTAGTTTCCTTTTTTCTCAATGTTCTGCATATGTGTGATTCTCCTTTTCTTTCTCCTTCTTATGTTGGAGGATTGCTAGATGTGTTTACTGTACACTTTAATGGTGTGACAAGGTGTTTTATGCATGTATTTCACCTTTTGTTTTGAACATTTAGAAAGTCTTTAGGGGTGCTTCACTAATCATTTAGACTCGGGTCAAAACCTCTTGGGGTATTGCTCCTCTTATAAGGGTGGCTATGTGTTTTACATTGCATTCAAATTGTTCACCTTTACAGGGGATGTGAATGGTTACATTTTTTATTGTTTTGGAAGGGTGATTGTGGATTTTACTTTTTTTGGAGAATAGGTTGTTTTTTTCACAACCTTTTCTGATTTCCTCAGTAGACACCTCCCAGTTAAGGAGTAGGCTGGCCTGGTGCACTGCAGCATTGCTTGGGTGAAAAGTGAGCACAGATAGGGAAATGTAGGAAACACATTGGTGCACCACATCCCAAATCGATTCATAGTATATAGGTTGATAAATCAAGGGGTTGAGGCTGTCACAAACAGGTCAGTTAGGTTCCTGAGGAAGTGAAACACATTGAACCAGTGAAACGCATTGAACCATTAATTGATTTACCAAGGAGTCATACCTATTTATCCCAAGACTGGATGTCAAGAATAAATACACACTAAAGAGTTCTTCCTCGTATTGAGTGTGTAATATAGTTTTATATTCATGGCAACTCTATTGGAATCAGACTGGATATGATGCTAATTTTTTATCTATTTGTTATAAAGTATGGTATTACGGTTTTATGTAGAATATTATGTGTTTCTGAATAAATGACTTTTGCCTGAGATTTATACTGCTCATTTGACTTGATGTCATCAACTGTTCTGAAAACCCCTTGATTTTGGTTTATCAACTGATATACTATGAATGAAAACAGAAACCATGACTAGCATACTGGTAAGTTTGTTACCCTATATGTACAGTGGCATTTGTGTTTTACTTCTCAAATCTACAAATTTTAATAGGATCCTATGGAGCAATGTTCATTTCCATTCATTGATGCTTTGCTTCCATTTCCGCATAGTAGTCAAATGCTTTTCAAATGTTCAAAACCTGGTGTCAGATTCTCAGTTTATTCTGAAATGCAAGCCTTATTTGCTTTCTTGGAGTTTACACCTGGCAAGGCAGAGCTCCAAAAACAATTGTGATTAGCCAGAGGCTCTAGCCAAAAGCTCAGCATCTCCCAACTCTGGCCAAGGTGTTGGCATAATAATAGTTGGCTATACACTGCAAATCACAGAAATCTGAGCTGCTTTTAAGCACTAATTGCACACAAGGTTATACATAAAAAATAGTGTTGAGTAATATTTAATTAAGTCATATATACAGGCCACATAAATAGATTTACAAGGTCTTTTGGTTTACTTAAAGGAAGAGAAGACTATAATCATGCATATATCATCTACATTTTCCAGGCAGACAAGACGAGCGATATTGTTCAAGTTGAAAGTAATGGTACGGCAATCCATCTGCAAAATGATCGGACTAGTTCTTTATATATACCTGGGAAAGGAATGGTCATGACGTATATATTTGAGGTAATATGTTCTCTTGGAATGTACAATCATCAACAATATTTATATGGCCTTTTCTTGAGTCAATATTACATTTTGCTGTATCCTGTAGAAACTACGCATGATTAAACAATATGACTACAGTAAACCGAAATCTGAGTGATGACTGGTCACTTTGGACAACATCATTGCTCATTGTTGGATAAGCCTACCTACGCTAACAAAGCTGACTAAACATAATTATATAATAATGCACTTAAAGAGGACCTTTACCCATATCTTCAAAATAACAACAAAGACACCTTTAGAAATGTTTAGTAATGACAATTTACAAACACATACTTTTGGATAATTGCCGGCATTTTTTTTCTTTGCATACCTTATTTTTCTTTTCAACCCCAGTCTTCTCTCACAGTGGCCATTTTTACTAAGGAAAGATTCATATATATCTTCCTCTACTTCCTGGAACTCTGGCACATGTGACTAGGACATGTGACCATGCACATCATCTTGGGGGAGGAAAATGCCTTTCCCTGAGATCTCATGAGATTACAGATGAGATTTCCAAGCAATGCTCTGCTGATGTGACCTTCCCATGATGCAATGCTTGGGCAGAATTACATGCCAAAGTGCGAAAGTGGACCAGGAAGCAGAAAAAAAGTAATTGTATGTAAAATAAACATATATTTGTTTAACTAATGATTGTAAGATGAATTCATATCGGCATGCAGAGCTGTATGATAATGTGATTTTTAGTCAAGGGGGGTAAAGGTCCACTTTAAGGGGTTATTTATAGACATGTAAGCCGGCAAAAAAGTTAATTTAGTTTTGTTTTGTTTCGTTTTGTTATTTTGTTTTTCGACATTTGGGTCTGAAAGTCAATTCGTTTCAGCATTCAAATTCGGATGACTTTGTTTCTTTTTAACTTTTGAGACTCCACATAAGCAATTAAAAAAAACCCAGCAAGCGGTTCCCCCGACAGTTTCCACCAGACCATTTAGGTCTGGTGGGAATGTTAGGGGGACCCCTGATGTAAGAAGAAAAGAAAGAAAAAAAAAAGCAAAGAAAAAAAAACAGCGTGGGGTCTCCCCTCCAATTCATACCAGATACTTTAGGTCCGGCAGGAATTTTAAGGAGGACCCCAAGGCCAAGAAAATCTTAAACAAAAAAACTGGTATGGTGCAGGGGTGGCGGTTGCTCATCCCCCCTTTTCTGCCCTGCCAGACCGACGCCTAGATTAGGGGTCTGGTATGGGATTTTTTTGTTAGGGGTGCCCACTAAAATTCCTACCAGACCTAGAGGGTCTGGTATGAATTATCGGGAGAACAGCACGCTTGTTTTTTTTATTATTAATATTTCTTTGGACTGTTTAACACTTTAGTGTATTCTGCAGAAGCTGTTACAGAATAACACAGATCTCTCACCTTCTGCCTGTGTTTACATTTTGTAACAATATTGTGTTACTTTGTTTTCATTCAAGTCCAGAATGTCCAACAAAAAGCAGATTCGTTACTTCTGTCATTTAGAAATTCAGATGCACCCGAATGTCCGAATTTACAATTCAGAATGAAACAAATCGCACATGTCTAGTTATTTAATAGGCAGAGCACAGTGTGGTGATTCCATAAAAAGTGCAGCATTCCATTTCAACAAGTAAAATTTCAGATTAGAACCAATGCATTTTATTACAAACTGAATTGAGGGGATTTTCTGCATTTTTTTACTTTATTGGTGTTTCTGCAGCTCACGATAACAACAAAACATCACGCACATTCAGCCTGGTAACTTTACAGGTCATTTGTATCCCAACTGGGGTCTTCCTTGACAGCTGAACTCAAGGCAAATAGCTAAATATTTAGGGGATGTACATATTTGTGAATTATCTTATCTGCCAAATGAAGTATGATCATCTTTAACCAGTTTATGTGATCCATGCACTCTTGCCAGGCTTCTTATATAGGTTTCTCTAGTGAAGTTGAACAGTGCAGCTTGTTCTAATTTCCACCACAGCCTGCTGACTAGACAGTGAAGGAACAGTAGCATGTGAATGAGGTCTTCCCTTACTCCTCCTGTAAGCATGTGTGTTAGAATGATGACACTGTGCAAAGCTATAGCACTGTGGTAGGCCAGGAGTGCCAACCCTTGCTCTGCCAGTCCAATTTCTGCTGTATAGAGGATTTCAGGAACCTAAGATAAAGACAGAATTTGGGTAGTTAACTGGCTTCATCTAAAAATATGTTTAATGAGTTTTAGATGAATGGTTTATTAAGTGAAACAAATAGCAATTTTATATTTGTGGGCTTACTTTAAATTGTATTAAACATTATTTAATACATTTATGCAGGAAAGAATGAATGTCTGCAAATATTTTGACAATGATTCTGGTGCTTGGCTTATTTTACCATTACTTTGGGAAATGAATTTGGACTTCGTCCTGAATCGTGTGCAGCAAGTGAAGGTACCTCCTTAAAAAAGTAATGTTGAATTGATATAGGTATACCCATAACATTTCAAACTCTTATTTTATCAGGAAGCCCTTCCTCTCATCACCGACTATAAGGAAATCCTAGCAGCTTTGAGACTGTGTAATTATGATCCTGATGAAGTCATCTCAATGTTTTATGCAATGTTTGACGATAGCCTTGGAAACACCATAAATGGGCAGCAAAACTTTGATCCAGCTATCCTACAAAGGTTGGCCTAATCAATTTAGCTTTACATAGGTTCTCTGTACTTTGTCCTTTAAATAGTATATTTCTTTCTATTAAACAGCCCCCCTTACACTAGGTGCAGTCTCTCCCATGTGTTACACTATTCAATAATGTACTTATGCAGACACATTTTTTTTATTTACAATATTATTTAATGTACATGTGGTATATTGCCTAATTGTGTCAAATAGGTAGTCTCTTCAGGCTATGTGTTTTTATTTACAATGTTAAATAACATAATATCTCTAGGAAATTTGATTAAGGTTAAAACAAGAGTCCCTTTATTAATGATAAGTAGAGGTGCACCGAAATGTAAATTTCAAAACCGAAACAATACTGAAATATAAACAAATGTAGGGGGGGCCGCGACCTTAAAAACTACACTACACTGCAAATTATACATTAAACTGAAATAAAACAATCTAGCTTGGACCTCCTCGGCCACCTGGGCCCCTCACACAAGTAGCGGCCATACCCCCCTGATGGCGGTCCTGGCCGGGGACTCAGATCGCGACCCCCCTGTTCACTTGCGGGACCCCATATGGGGTCGCGACCCACACTTTAAGAAGCACTGATGTAGATCACTTCCCATTCATTCATAATTGAGGATATAGTAAACATACCATGTCCTCAATTATTTACAAACACTCAGCGATCACTGATCACTGACGGCTTGTACTGCTCTGCTTCCTGACACGCTGTCACGGGAGGCTGAGCGAGCGGAGTTCAGCCTGCTGTGACGGCACCGGCTGTCTCTGCCCACAGCGCTCTCTTCTGATCTGTGGCAGGAGGCTAAGCGGTGTGGCAGGAGAGATGCCTGCCGCTCACAGCGCTCTCCTCCCGCAGTGGTTGGCAGCCTGTGACAGTTTCTCTCCTCACCCGCTGGGACACAGAGCAGCGAGGAGGAGAGAAAGAATGGATGCACCGCTGTATCGGCCAGAAAATTGCACTTTCGGCATTATGCCAAGAAAGCCATTTTTGGCCGATATGTTTCAGCGGCCGATATATCAGTGCATCCCTAATGATAAGGGTTCCAACCCTAAGGATAGGCAAAACCGTTTCATGTCTATCAGGTGTAACAGGAAAGACAACCAAGTTATCATTTTAGGTATGGCAAATTATATTCTGACACATTTTCCACTATAATATTTTGTGACAACACTGTCTTCCTTTTATGTATACTTCATTATAAAGTAATGGCAAACATAATGGAGCTATTTATTTATTTTATTTATTTATTTTCCAAAAGGTAAAAAAAAGTACAGTACAGGGGCCCCAGTTTTAGCAGTTATACAGCTCTTTTGTTAAATCTTTAAAGCAGTGGTGGTCAACTTTGTAAATATGGAGGGTCCCAAATGCGGCTTTGACATGTCGCACAATAGCATCTGTACTTAGAAATAGATAGCACCTCTGATTGCACACAAAAAACAGACCTGCACCATTTTTACAAGGCAGGGCACTGTAATGCACAGATGGTTCACATCTGTACACAAAGTGCACAAAAAGATGCAGGTATGTTGCAGTGCGCTGTGTATGTACATTGTGGTGCCATACAAAACGAATGGCATTGCACATAGTTCTGTGTGTTGCAGCAAAATGTGGAAACTGTGTATTTTAACAGACACTAATTCAACTCACTAGTCTGAAAAGGTCCTACTACAGAAAGTAGTTTAGGCCAGCTTAACAAATATATGTTGTGGTAATGTGCCTTACTATAATGCACAGTATTCATAATTCATATTTATTGGCACCCCAGTGCAACTGTGTTGCAGTACAACACAACGCACAGGTAGGAATAATCTGTGCATTGTGGTGCAGTGAATAATAAAAAAAAAAGCTTCTCGCCCAGCTATCTTCCAGCTAGTCACAAAGTGTTGGTGGACGGCTTCCGCAGGCCTGAGCCGCACTGACAGCCTGAACACACCAGCATCAAAAAACCTCCTCATCAGTGGCTCAGAAAGAGGAAATAAGAAGTGGGATGTGGGCATCCACTTAATAATAACACATATTAACTAGAGATGTCCAGTTCATGAACGAATCGTTCTTTTGAATCGATTCTATTCACTGAACTGGTGGAGTCTATTCATCTGAGTGAGCTGATTCGTTTGAAGCAGCTCAGTGTGATGTGTCAGTGTGTGACGTATAGCAGAGACTCTAGCGGCACTTGTAATATGATCCTAGAGTGAAAGCCAGGCTTCTGCAAACCCCTCCCAGCCCCTCCTCCCTGCCCACCCCTGCAACCAATCACATCTCTGAGTCACACTACACTGAGTCTAAGAATAATACAAGTCTATATGAGTCTAAGGGGTCTATTCACGAAGCTGCCGAAGCATCTAGCCTTAGCTCCGGCCAATCCTTCGGCTAGCTGCGGCCCCAGGACCCCTTCGGTTCAGTAGAACCGAAGGGGTGCTGTACGGGCTATTCACTATAGCCCGTACAGCTCCCGAACGCGAGCCGAACGCATATGCCTCTGCTCGGCTGAGCCGCGCTGAAAGCCGAAGCTGGCCGAGCGGCCGGCCGACAGCCTGCTTCTGACAGCTGGGCGGAGCCAGCCGTGATCTTACTTGCAGAGAGATTAGCGTCCCAGGTTACCTGCTAACCAGGGACACTGATCTCCAAACAGCAAACTCTACCTGGCGCTCCGGGAGTCTTCAACTCCCGGCCGCCAAGGAGAGAAACACCGCTGTTTCTTCTTTTTTAATTCTGACACGGAGCCGTGTCAGAATAGAAAAAAAATTGCAATTTGCAATAGCCAATAGTAAACTAGCATTGTAGCATAGCCAATAGGAATCTAGCAATGCATTCCAATGGGCAAAAAATATATATATTTTTTTTTCTATTCTGACACGGCTCCGTGTCAGAATAAAGAAAAAAAAAACAAGAAAAAGCAGTGTTTCTCCCTGGGGCGGCCGGGACCGGGAGGCTCCCGGAGCGCCCGGGAGTTTTTTTGTTTTTGTTTTTTTTTTACAGCAGCAGAGCCGCCGGACAATAGAAAACTATTGGGTGGAGCTAGTTGTCACTGCTAGCTCCGCACAATCGTTTTCTATTTACTTTTTAAAAACTGTTTAAACTATTTTTCTGTTCTGCTCGGTCCCTTTCACTCACTGCTGTTCGGCATCTATAAGAATAGGCCGAACAGCAGTGAGTAGCCTGCCGGCTTAGTGAATAGACCCGTAAGAATCTATTGAGTCTACTAGTTCAAAGAATCAACTGATTCTACTTAGTTAGTAGACTCATCCGATTATTTGAGTTAAATAATCATGAGTCATCAGTGGAGTTACAGAGTTAAATGAATTGTTAGTCACCACCAGTAGAGTCTAATGAGCAGGTTGCAGCAGTGATAAGGGACAGACAGCTTGGGACTATTTAAACCTCCTTTTTAATTATATTATTTACCCCTCCACTCCTGTTTGTCACACCCCCTGGATGCTTGTTTGTTTTTTTTTTGTTCCGATAACCATGACCTCTACAGTGGGGTAGATAATTACACATTTGCACACAGGGTTTTAAAGAATAAACAATTTGTAATAGAACATTATCAAACTTTTAAAGCACTGGAATAATTAGAATGAAAAAACTGCAGTTAAATATTCAACTGTCTTTAGACAATACTTTCTTTAAATAAAAATATGAAATATTAAACAAACAAATGAGATAAATAAAATACAAATAAATATAACAAAGTGCAAAAGAAGTGCAAACTATCAGAAAAATACTGATACTGCGCCGCAGTAGTAAAATCCTATCATTATTCACACCCATACACTGTAAAGACTATGGACAAATCTGACCGCTAGCCATGTTAGCTGTGACATCACCTCATCAGAATGCGCTGCGCAGGAACACGCTTCTCACTGTCGCAGCTGATTGCGCGTCACTTTGTGATCACATTGGCTGATTCGATAGAATGGCAAATCTGACAGAAAATCAGACTTGTGACAGCTCTGAGCACTGTGATCAATGTTCCCCAGGAGCTGCCTGACACCCTTCTGTGAATCAGTCTTCTGATTCTGATCTTCTATGAAGGATCAGACAGCTCCTGAGCTTCGAATCACTTGCTTGTCAGCCGACTCAGCAAGTGAAATCGAAGATTCGATTCATGAATAGGTTCTTTTGAATGAACTGATTCAAATGAATCGATTCATTTAAAAGATTCGAACTTCCCATCTCTAATATTAACAATTGTTTGTGATAAAGCTAGCACAAGGTGAGGCAAAGTTCAGGAAAAGCTGCACTCACAGAAGGAGCTGCCTTCTCGGCTGGCTGCAAACAGGCACTGAGCTGCTTCTGTCAATGAGCAGTTTGTACAAGCAACCACCAGGGGGCTCTGTGCATGGTATGAGGAGATAGCCAGGCAGCAGAAGAAAAAACGTCTGAATCTCCTAGAGAAAACAAACCACATCTGCTGCAGTTTGCTTTTCTTTCTGCCTCACATCAAGGCACCAGGGCTTTAAAGTATAACAGCATCATCCAACATAGCAATGGATTAAGTATGGATAGCACAGCAGAGAGAAAAAAGGAATTTGAATGAGATATACTGTATATGGACCCAAATCATTGCAACTTGTAAATGTAAAATAACTGTATAAATGCAAAAGTGCTGACCATTTGTTAACACTGCTTAATGGTTGCAAGATGTGCCTGCAGGGACAGGTCATCACATGAGGCATTTAACAGAAGGAGAGGTGCACAGTCTGATTACTGGGGCCCTCTGGCTTCTGTATATTCTCAGTCACTAGTGCAAGTATGCAGCTTAAAAAAAACATCAGAACCTGTCTGTATACTTGTTCTAGATCAGAGACTCTGGGGGTTGAAGCAAGTGAATCTGCAAGACAACCAGGCAACTGAAGCAGATGTCAGCAATAGCAAACTCCATTCTTCTTATGTCAAGTTTTTTGTTACACAGAGATGCCCATGGCAGCTCTATAAAGATGGTGGCTGAGAGAGAGATGGCATTGGGGGATCGTAGGGAGGTCTGCTATATATTTTTTTACATGTTCTTTGCTAAATAATTATGTAGTAAGCCAATATTATCAACCATTTATATTTTCTAAATAAATAGATATGACTTTGTAATAAATCTCGTGCATGAAAAAAAGCAATAAAAACATTCTTTAGGTATACAGGTTTGGATATATAGTTCTTGATATCTGGCTGTACTAAAATCCTAGAAGTCGATATTTACATCCTAGACCTTCAACATAGCACTAAATCTTTTATCATTTTGATTACAAGCTGTCTAATACCTTGCCAGTTATTTATTAAGTTATGTATATTGGTGGTAGTCATGCATTTTGTTTTAATCTACTGTTTTCACCCATAGAGATGTAGCTACAAAGGAAAAACAGATACAACTTCTTGATAAGAACTTGCAAGAAAAGGAAACAGAACTGGAAAATTTACACTCAAAGTGCAGATATTTAGAAGAAGAAAAGCGACTTTTACTTCAACGTACAGAAGTCTTAAATGAAAAAGTGACAAAATTGCAAGATGAACTTGAAAAATACTTGAAAGAAATAAATGATATCAAAAGCCAAAATGTTCAAATAACAAATTCCATGAAAAATAATTTACCTCTAAGAAAAGACCTACTGCCAAAAATGTTGAGTGAAGCCCGTCACCTCTATGTGGAAAATGATCAATTAAGAGTCCTTACTGCAAGTGGTCTGTCAGAAATTAGCCTAATTATAGAGCGTCTGAAGAACACAGTAGTGAATATGCATAGCTCTACCAAAGAAATAGAAGAGATCCGCACTCTATACCAGAGAGAGACCTTAGAAAGAAAGTTACTGTACAATCAGCTTCAAGAACTTAAAGGAAACATCCGTGTATTCTGCAGATGCAGACTTGATGATGAAAAGGGAGGACACCTAGAATTTCCATCAGAAGAAGAAATCATTGTGAATCAAAATGGAAATAAGAAAAGGTTCAGATTTGATCAGGTGTTTCTGCCACAATGCACTCAGGTACAATGTAGTCAGTAGCATGATATACAGTATTATTTGATTCAAGTAATTAATCAGGTTCCATTAATAAAAAATGGAATAAGGCATTATCTATGTCCCTCAGATTCCAGGTGTCATAGGTTACAAAAGGAAACAAGTATTATGTATGCCAAATGTTAGCAACATGGACAGTTTCCTTTATGTCAGCTTGTAAAAATCAGCTCTGGTGGCTGCCTACAAAAAGTTTCTCTATTGTCCATTGAGGGACACAGCTACTAAGTATTCGGAGATATACAGTTATGCTGCTGCCTCCAGGAGAATTGGACACTAGGCAAAAAAACTAAAAGCCTGCCACTTTAAGGGACATGACCCCTTACACCTGCCAGTTTAGCTTAGTGTCCTCTTTTTTTATTTTATTTTTTTTATTTTGTTTCTTCTATGAGATTCTACTGACAAGAGCTGGTAGTTGATTCATGCCGGCTATTATTAAATCCGTGAAGTCTCTGTAGCTAGCCAATAACACTCAGAGATTCATAGATAAGCTACATCCTGGAAGTTTCTCTAGTTGTCAAGAAGTGGGTTGTTTCTGGTCTCAATACTGATGATTTGTCCTGCAGTGGTCCTGTGTTCCTGTTTTCACCATTTCATGGTCTGACCAGTATTGTCTGGGGATTTCTGTTGTTATGTTGGGAACAGGGCCGTGAAGTCATGAGTACCTGTGTATATTTACATAAGATGGTTTATAGGGAGGGCTGTTTTTCCCTTCATTTTATTGTAATATAACTTTGTGTATTCAGACTCCCCTTTGGCTTATATCCCTTATATGTGGAGTCTGACTGATTTTATTTAAACTTCCCACTGTCTCTTTAAGAGGCTGGGACATGATTTTCATGATGTATTCATTTTTTTCTTCTGTGCACTTCTTCTAGGATCTTTGATGGCAGTATAGCCGTTTATGTTTCAGAGCCGCTATGGTTTCATCTCCATTTCTCCTGATTCTTATGGGACTTCAGTTTTAAGCTGTTTTTCAGCTGATCACTACATAATAGAGAAGATCCTTTGTTTTTCTACAACTACACAGCCGTTTATATTCTGCTGCCTGCAGCAGGGGGATATGATCCTTAAAGGGCCATCCATATAATGAGGCTGCCTGAGGTGGTTGAGCATCTCATTGGGTTATGTGGCAGGTGTGCCTGATATTCTCTTTCCGGCTAGATATAACAGGTTGCTAAAAGCTCTTAGCAACCTTGGATGCTCTGGCCCCTGTCCTGCCCAGCTCAGTAACAACGTTTTATTTTGCATTGGAAAACGTTGCTTCTTTTCTTTCGCTTTTGCATTCTAAGGATGTAATGCCTGAATTTCCTGGACCTGTTATAGTGTTTCCAGAAGATTCTGTGTCTAATAGTAAATTTTTTATTTATTTTGAGGAGATCCTTCCAAAACATACCACCACTCTTCTAGAGCTAATTTACCAGCTAGAAGCTCACGATCTCCAATGGAGTAGTTTCTCTCAGCTGGTGAGAACTTCCTTGAGAAGAAGGCACCAGGATGCTTTGGCCCACTAGACGAGTGGTAAAGGATAGCCCCTTCTCCCATGGAGGAGGCATCCACTTCAATAGAGAAAGGCTTGTAAACATTTGGCCTTCTGAGAGGAGGTCCTGAAAGGAAGGCTTGCTTTACAGCATGAAAAGGTTCCACAGCTTCAGGCGGCCAGTACTTGGGATCGGCACCATCCCAGATTAGTGCTGTGATAGGAGCCACTAGCACAGAGTAATTCTTGATAAATTGGTGAATAGTAATAGTTTGTAAATCCCAGGAAACGTTGGGTAGCCTTAAGACAACTGAGTAGAGGACAGTTAGTTATTGCAGCCACTTTTTCTGGGTCCATTGCAAGACCATCTTTGGAAACAATGTAGCTGAAGAAGGGCACTTGTGGAAGCTCGAAGAGGCATTTCTCAGCTTTAGCGTAAAGGCCATTGTCACAAAGACGCTGAAGAACAAGTCTGACATGCTGTCTATGAGTGCATATATCAGGAGAGAAGATAAAATATCGTCCAAATAAACCACTAAACACAGATAGAGGAGGTCCCTGAAGATCTTGTAGACAAAATGCTGGAAGACTGCTGCTGGGCCTTGCATAGACCAAAGGGCATGACAAGATATTCATAGTGGCCATCCCTGGTGTTGAAAGCGGTCTTCCATTTATCTTCCTCCTTTATGCTTATTATGCCCCACCGCAGGTGTAACTTTGTAAAAATCTAAGCACCTCAGAGACGATCAAATCATTCAGAAATGAGGGGCAGTGGGTATCTGATTTAAACTGTAATTGCATTTAGACCACGATAGTCTATACAGGGGTGAAGCAAGCAGTCTTTCTTCTCAATTAAGAAAAATCCTGCTCCAGAAGGTGAAGTTGACTTGCGGATGAACCCCTTTTAAAGATTTTTACAATGTACTTAGACACTGCCTTGGTCTCAGGAAGACACACCCGCCCTCCAAGAATGCTACAACCTGGAATTAAGTCAATAGAGTCTCTGAGGAGGAAGCTGATGTGAAATTAGTTTAGAAACAACATACAAATAGTCCACATAATGGACTTGCACTGGAGTAGAGGCCTCAGTAGAAGCCACCCAAAGTGGTTTAATAGGAAGCACCTTTTGAAAGACATCCAGCATGACAACATGGACCCCAGGATACCAGTTGGGATGTCGACCAGTCGATCACTGGAGAATGTTGTTGAAGCCGCGGATAGCCTAGGACGAGCTTACAAGAAGCCCGGGATAACACCAGAAAGGAGATGGTATCATGGTGCAGCACACCCACGGACATCTTGTTGACAGAGGTCTGAGAACGAATAGGACCACAAGCCAGAATAGTACCATCAATGGCTGACACACGCAGAATCTGCAGTTTCATTAGTCCAACCAAATTTTTCCACGAAAAAAAAAAAAGACACGTTGCTCAAATGCCAAGCAACAAGTGAGCTGATCTTTTAACACCGAGGTTCAGAGTGGATAAGCAGGAAGCCGAGCACCTCGGACAGGAGGCAAAACTACTTTTGTCGCATCACTTGGACTATTTGGGTCTTCTTTTGGATACCTTTTAAGTGAGGGTGTTCCTTCTTAAAGAAAACATTGCTAAAGTTCCAGGATCAAGTTCTATCACTTTGATCATGTCTCTCTGTTTCTCTCTGAAAACCTGCATAAGAGTTCTAGTTTTGTTGGTATCCACCTTTGAAGCTGTACCATTTGCTCAGTTTGATTCCAGAATTTTACAGAGGAATATTCTCACAGTGTGGGACAAATCTGCACTATCACTGAACAGGATGAGCAGATTGAGTTCCACAACCAGGATGTTTCTGTCATGGTGGTCGACATCCCCTACATTGACAACAAGGAAGTAATTTTTTCCCATAACTTTGAAGATTGTCACAACGGCCACCAGTCTTGTGGGATGGGGCGGTCTCTTGCATTATTTGTCAGTGCAGGGTTGTTGGCCTCCAGATGAATCCAAGTGTAAGAGACTTACCTGCAGGTGGACTCCTGCTCAAAAATGTGCATGCACGCAAGTATGTAATCCATTGCCTAAAGTTCCTGGAAAACGCGCTTTAGCACGTGAATGCGCGCATACGCGATTGTTTATGCGCAATAGCGCAAGTCCATAAGCGTGCAGAAATGCACTCGTTAGCGTACAGGTGCATGTTCATTAGCGCACACACTATAATATTTAAACAGACATGAAGCCATGAACAAGTTGCTGGGTGGTCTTCAGCTTGTCCCTGTGTTCCCTGTACTTTGTTCTTGTATCCTGACGTCCTGTGTATGAACATGGCTTGTGACCAATTGACTTCGCCTCCTCCTCCTGATTCGGTACCTCTGCTCTCTGATCTCCTGCGTATGACCCTGGCTTACGTTTTCTGACCCTGCTCCTGATCTGTGATTCAGCACCTCAAGATTAGTCTCCCTGTGTATGACCTTGGCTTGAACCTGACTTCCCTCCTGGTCTGCCACTTGGTGGATCGCTCCATCAGCATCCTGAGCAACGACATCCTGCCAGTGCTTCGTTGGTCTCATAACCGTTGCCTGCTCTGGTTTCAAGAGGTCCCGGTGTCATCTCGGTCCTGCCGATTCACTAGCTGGTCCGACGCACTCAAGCGCCTCCTCAAGAACCGGCCAGCCACCAGTATCGGCACCTGTTCTCCGCTCTGTCCTTACATCCCCAGTCACTACTTCCAGAGGTGTGGGACAAGAGCTGCACGGGCAACCCCCTTCTCAGCTGAATCTCCAGTCAGGTACGTGATTCCAAGCTTCCGATCAATATCCTGGAGTTGAGGGTGTCTTCTGTCTGGGTGTCCGGTTTGGATTCAGTCAGACAGTGCCATGGCAGTGGCTTGTATCATTCACCAGGAGATTTGCAGCAGTGAAGAAGGTTCATTCGATCTTGAATTGGGTAGAACTTCATGTTCCAGCAATCTCAGGGGTGCACAAGTCGGTGCCAAGTCGAAAACTGGCAGGCAGACTTTTTCAGCAGACAACATATGGATCCAGGGAAAGTCCAGATGTGTTTAAACAACCTTGTCAACACTAGGGAACACCAGCTGTGGATGTTCTAGCTTCTCACAACATACAATAAGGTAGACAGATTTGTATCCAGAGCGAGGGATCCAACGATGGATGCACATATACACATTGATGCTACTGACGCTGTTACCTCGTCTGCTTCACAAGATAGAACACAAAGGAGTTCCTGTCTTTCTTATTACTCCAGATTGGCCTCGCAGGGTGTGGTATGCCCATATGGTTCATCTGTTGGCAGGCGATCTCTGGCTTCTTGCAGATTGGCCAGATCAGTTATCTCGGTCACTGCCCCGATGCTGGCGACGTACACTGTACGTCGTCAGTCACGAAGGGGTTAACGACCTGGTTGTTGAAACCTAAGTGTTGAAAGACAGATGAGTTTTGGATTCTGTTATCCTGACTATGCTAAAAGCTCATAGATCTTCTACTTGTAAAATGTATCGCCATATGTGTAAGATTTATTTTTGTTGGTATGAGTCATTGGAGTTTTCCCCATGTTTTTTTTTTTCTATTTTGCAAATTTTGTCTTATCTTCAACCTGAGGTAGATGAATGTTTAGCTCTCAAAACCATTAAGGTACAGATATCTGCCTTGTCTGTCCTATTTCAACGTCCTCTGGCTTCTTATTCCTTGATTTGTACTTTTATGCAGGGAGTTGCATGTGTTGATCATTGCCTCGTCTAGAAGGGTTTCTGAGTTGTCCGCTTTGTCTGCTAGAGAACCCTATTTGGTTCTTCATAATGACAAGATTGTTTTAAGAACAAAGGCTTGTTTTAAGAACAAAGGTTTGTTTCTTACCCATGGTCGTCTCAACTTTTTATTTAAATGAAGGCATTGTTTTACCTTCACTTTGTCCAGCTCCTGTCCATCCTAATGAAATCTGTTTTAATTGTTTGGATATTGTGCAGGCTATTAGAGTTTGTTTATTAGCCACAGCTTTCTTTAGGTGGTCAGAATCTTTATCTGTTTTACATGGAGGTCCTAGAAAAGGTTGTTCAGCTTCTAGATCCATGCTTTCTAAGTGGATTTGCCAGGTTGTCATTCAAGCTATGAGTTGCAGGATAAGGTACCTCCTTTTCCTGTTTCTGCTCATTCTACAAGGGCAATTAGTACTTCCTGGGCGTTTCACAATCAGGCTTCAGTTACCCAAATGTGCAACATCGCAACTTTTCTGTTCACACTTTTGCAAACGTTTATGAAGTTGATGTTTCTGCCTCTTCTGATGCTAGTTTTCGCACAAAAGTTATTTTTGTTGTTTAATTAGTTATTTTAGTAGTTGTGGTGCCCACCCCTTTGTTAGGACTGCTTTTGAACATACCTGGGTCTCAGAATTCTTAAGAGCTGTGTCCCTCAATGGACGATAGAAAAAAATGGATTTTGTTCTACTGTAAACTCTTTTTCTTGGAGTCCATTGAGGGACACAGCTCCCTCCCCTTATTTCCTTTCATACTGCTTGCTACAACTGTCAGGTATGAGGTGGGAGGGCTTATGTCCCCTAAAGTGTCAGGCTTTTAATTTTTTAATACAAAAATATTTGTGCTATGGAACCAAAAGAAAACTATTTAAAGCTACTGTGCTCTAGTGTCAAACACTAAATGAATAAATAAATAAAGTGCACTGTGCTGATTTAAAACCTAATCAATAACAAATATTTATGTGTGATAATTGCATAAATCATTAAAATAAATTCATCAAGTGTATAAACATAAATAATAAATAATGATCTATATAAATAGTCTCAAAACAGGAATGATATTTGAGTGCATCGGCAAGGGATTAAATCAGGTTAAAAAAAAAAGTCCATAATAAAAGTTCATAAGGTCACCATAATAGCCATAAGCTATATTCATGCAGCAAACAAGTGACCATCTGTGAACCAGTGAGATGGTGTAAGGGTGTGCATATAATTCCAGTGATTGCTGTGCTCCAAAAAGTGCATTCTCAAGTGCTCATTGTCAAACACCTCACTCACCAGACCAAAGTGATAATCTGAAAACAACAGGCCATACACAGCTCAATATTATTGCCAGTCCGATCAGGATCCGTCTTATGTATCCAGTAATCCCATCACTAATTTTTCTCTCCTCTGCCGATCCACTCCGATCTCAAACCTTTTAATCCTCATACCACCGTCACCATGTAAGTAAAGAGATTCTCGTAGTGTAGCAAGTTAAAAGCTTGTGACATTTTTTTTTGCCTAGTGTCCAATTCTCCTGGAGACAGCAGCATAACCATACTTCTCAGAATTCTTAAGAGCTGGGCCCCTCAATAGACTCAGAGAAAAGGATTTTACAGTAAGAACAAAATCCTATTTTTGGAAGTAAAGAAAATCAAAGAAATCAAATGAAAAAAAAAAAAAATCTAATTTTGTATTTCTTTTATACAATTTAAAGAGCAAACATTTTCACCTATTGACCTTGTGACTGCCTTCAAACTACAACTCCTAATATGTATTGTGATATTGCAAGGTGGATATGCAGGGGTGGTAATATGCAAGTGCTGATATAGTTGGGCATAGGCCTTAGCGCTTGCTTCCTCAGTTATTATTGGTGAATCTCTCACAAGCAAAGAGCTGAGTTACATGAGATTTTCTCACATAAGTCGCAAATAGATATCTAAACCCAAGAATACAAATGTAATACTTTGCAGATTACTAGTCCTTAGATATGATGACTGCATTAGTTTTCATTTTTTAGACTAAGAACATTTTCACAAGTAAAGAAATACCTGTTAATCAGGCCTCAAATGCAGTGTCCTTAGCAGTTGGCGCTATATAAATCCTGTATAAATCCTGTATAATAATAATAATAATAATAATAATAATATTTTCAGCCCTACACCAAAACAAGCACTTAATCCTTGCAGTGTGGGGGTAGCCCCACTGCAAGGGTTAATACTATTTTTCTCAGAGTTCTGCTTTAAGTTATTTTTTAAACAAAACCCTGTATTCTACCATCATGGGTTTTTCATTGTGATAAGCACAAATGTGTACACTTTGAGTTGTGCGAATGTTTTATTTTGTTTTCTTTTTATTCTTGTTTTTCCAACACTTATTTTGTTCTATTTTTTTAACTATGTACTGCAGGAAGATGTCTTTGAAGGAACTTTACCAATTATTAAGTCATGTGTGGATGGCTACAATGTTTGCATATTGGCTTATGGTCAGACAGGCTCAGGAAAGACATATACTATGATGGGAAATGAGCAAAAGCCAGGAGTCAACATCAGGTGAGTCTTCTACTCTTAGTCATGGATTTCAGCTATGTCATGTCCTAGGCTCATCCCTAACTACAGTGTGGTGATGGTATTTATATGGGTGTGATTATTTTTACCTGTGTAACCACTATATAATTGCTAAACATACTGAGCTTATACTGAGCTATGTGTTTTTACCAGGAAAAACTCCCTGCGCACTAGGTAAAATCTCAAATTAGATGGTAAGGACTGCATAGGCTGCAGATATCAAAGAGGAGGTAAAAAGCAAGACGGACTGACCGACTTGCGGCCAGTTTGTATTTCATTCTTTGAAGATCTAATATTTTGATCTGTCATCCGTTTATTACAACTGCAGCACACGTAGTTTCACAGCTTGCCTTTTTAACAATACTTGTTATTTTTAAGGGTAAATCTGAAACACAAAAGCACCAGCTTGGCTGCATCTGTTCCTGCCATTCTGTGGTGTGATTTCAAAATATCCTGGCAATTAAAAAAAATATATGTAGACAACTTTTATATCTGCAGGTATGCACACTAAACTGCACAGCTCTCTTGGGCCTCCTAGGGTATCCATCATCTCAGCCTGTCTGCATCATTAGTTGCAGTCAGATTTTCCTGAAGTATTTTACCACAGATGTATGAAAAATATGTTACAGCAGATTGAAATGGAAGAGTTTAATTTCCTGCTACACTTTAGGATAGCAAACTATTGTTAGCTAGAAAACAGTAACAGATAAGAAAAAAAAAAGTGTGTGGGGAGAGTTTAGTGAGCAATTACTTGTTAAAAGAAATAGGGTACACGGAATTTAATTTCATGCAGTGTGATGAAAGATCTATTGGATATTATCATTTGAAAACTATGTAGGTTAAGCAGTGTTTTTCTAATTATCTTTTATTTGTCCAGGATAAACACATCTTAGGTCGATTCGGAAATGTATTTTCCAGACGTCATCTCAGAAAAAGAATTGATTTAGAGATTGTAATGTTCATTAAAGTTTATCTAAAAAACAAAATATATTTTGCAGCTTACCAGCCCCCAGATGTGGTGGCAGTATTATAATTTTTTCAGACTTGTTTCCTTTATTTTTACCTGGTTCTTGCATGTCCCTTTTTGTCCCAGGTTGATAACACCCGCACAGTGTATCTATGGAGCAGCAGTATTGTGACCTTAGGACAGGACATGTCTTAGGACTATACAACACCTCTCCTTTATGTCCATAATTAGGAACAATGTTAACTCGTAACAGTGCAGCAGAGGCAGAGAGCACAGTAATCTATCAGCTCACTAGATTTCTGTTGCTCCTTTCAGGGGAAATAGACACTATGCAAAAAATTAAAGCTTGTCACGTTAAGGAAGCACGTAATTTCTAGTCTCAGTTCTAATGATTCGTCCTGCAGTGGTCCAGAGTTCCCAAGTTCATCTCTTTGATTAAAGAGCGCAGGCCTTCCAAGTCACTGCGCTGTGGATTCTTCCTGCAATGGTGAGGTATTTCAGCTACCATTTCTAAGGTCAGCCTAGTTTTGTCTGGGGATTCCTTTTTGTGTTGAAGCCAGAACTGTTTAGGTTTTAAGTACTCCAATCATGTTTTTCTCCCTGCAGGGGGCCTTCCCTCTTTTTAATTACTCTGTAGACTATTGTTTGTATTTTTTACACTGCTTTTAACTTTTCCCGCCATAGACAAAAACTATGACGCACTTTTTTATTTACTGTGCCTTTTTACACTTGCACTCCCTCGCCGCTTTAAGCAGCCCAATCTTGTGTTCCCGGAACTCTAGTGAGGATACATGTGTCACCTCAGCTTTCCTCCTGGCCTCCTTTTACGCAGCTGTAAGACACCTGCGGCAATAAGGAGAAGCTGACTGTGAGGTAAGAAGGAGCTAGAGACAAATTCTGCTCTATATCTCTCTGCAATGTTATCCTCCTGTGAAAAGTGGCACAATTTCGTTCTATTTTTTTCCTGATTCTTCAGGGTTGTGAGAATTCTAGGAAAAAGTACATTTTCAAAGTACATTGCCTTATCTACTCCCAGGCAGAAGGACAACTATGCTGGAACATCTGATGATGTACCCACTCTGGTCTCTGTGTGTTATATCTGTAAGGTAGAAATTGCAAAAGGGAAGGATTGTGTTACTTTTGTTTCTGCTTTCTCTAAAACCGATAAATATTTATCAGTGGCTTCTTCTTCACCACTTCATTGTATATTGATTCTTCTTCCCCTTTTCACACAAAAGTGATTTTTCTGTTGTTATGGAGGTTTTGTCTATCACGAGTAGTTACAAATTGTTTCTCATTACCCTAACAAGGGTTGCCCTCATCTTTCCCCTCCTATAGCTTCGGATGAGGCAATGCCTGATATTTCCAGTGTAGCTGGAGCCCTTCCAGTAGATTCTTTAGCTGATGATGAATCTTTATGGTCTTTGGAGGAATACATTACTCCAGCTGCTGATTTCCAGACACCTATGGTGTCTCAACATCAAAAAGAAACTGGCCTTAACCCACAAACATTCCACATTCTAAATTCAAGCTAATGCTCCACGTCCTTTCTGCTGCCAAACATACCATAGCTTGTGCTTGGTTAACTAATAAAATCTCTTTTCAAGCCACCAAAAATAGAATTAATTGGACCTTCTCCCATGAAAAGCTCTCAGCGCGCCTTACTGACCAAATGCCTAAATTCGAAAAGCTATGGCAACCTTGGGTGAAACACAACCTTTGACACACGCCTTCTGACCCTATAATAATCTCCACCCCTTGCCTCAAGACCGACTTGGGAATGAGCTAGACCGAGCGTCACACCTGCTCCCGCTTCTCTTCCCCTCTCCACTCTACCCCCCTTCCCCCCCTACTGTTTTGTCTCTATTCTAGCTCTTTATCCTTTCTTTTATGTTCCTGACTGTGGTGGCGGTAGCCCCGCTAGTGTAAATCCTCCACCCTGTTTAAGTAATAATTGGGTGATTGCTAAAAGTATGCCATGTTTACTGTTGATACAACTGTTGTATAGCAATGCCAATGTCTACATCGCTATATATGCACACGCACGATGTTCGTGTCAGTGCATCGTTTAACTAGTACTTTACTGGATGAATAAAAAACCTGTTGAAACTAAAAAAAAAAAAGAAACTGGCCTTTTTAATTTAAACTGTAAGATCAGCTTTAAATTTAGGGGATTCTGCAGTATCTATTTAATCCTGCATGTGCTATTTTTGACAGATTTATAAACGAAGATTAAGAATCTCTGCATATACAGTTTTAGTCACTTTATCCTTTTCTGGATGCCTTTGTTTTTAAAACATGGTCTGTTCTCCTTGAACTTGAGTTTCCCCTTTCTTGCCTCAATAGGGCTTTTTCTATTCCTATTGGTGATGCCCCTTCATTCATTCGTCTAAGACTGTGAGTGCTGACCAAGCGGAAGCGAGTGTTGGCCCACATCTTATTGATTGTGTCAAACAGATGACAATTGTGTCTCATTTTGTGTGCCATCCAGTTCTTGATGCATGTCTAAAGTATTTATATTCCTCTATTCAGAATCAAAGAACCATTTGGCTTATGTGTTAGTCGACGGAGCCTCAATATAAGAAGGGACTTTTATGTTTGCCCTATGTAGAAGACTATTTATCTGTTCGATGCATGCCTTTAAAAAAGTATTAAGTAAACTACTAGGGGCTTTAAGTTCCCAGGGCAAAAAGTCTCCTTCCTGTGCTAGACCATCAGGTTCTTCCAGACTTCCCTTGGCAGGCTGATTCTGTAGAGAGTTTCTTCAACAATGGAACAAGTCACCCTCTTCGCTGGAGAAACAAATGCAGGTAAACCGGAGGGTTAAAGCCTCCTTGGCTTGATTGCTCAGTTCCCCTGCTCTGATGAAAGTGCAGAACTTTATGTCTGGATGCGACAGATGCCTTGGTGGCACCATGGGACAGGTACAATGTAATTTATGCCTTTCTTTCTCTAAAACTTCTTCCACAACTTCTACGTTGAGTGGAACTGGAAAGGATACTGGTCATTCTGGTGGTTCCCATTTGGCCTCTATGCCTTTGGTCCATGGATGTGGTGAGGCAGGCGGTAGACATCTCCTGTTAACTTCCTCTTCAACCAGACCTTTGTCCCAAGGTCCAATCTTGCATCCTGCTTTACAGTCTCTGGCTTTAGAAGTATGACTTTTGAAAGCATTTAAGTCTACATCTTAAGTCTACTCCTGCCAGTGGCAGTATAACCCATCGGGAGATAGATCAAGATCTCCGCTGTGTCTTCAAAGAACTCAGAGAAAAGGCTTTTACTGTGAGTACAAAAAATCTTACTATTGCCTTGGAAAATGTGAATAAGTAAAACTGTCTCTATTTAGAAAATAACTAAAAGATGAGTCATAAAATACCCTAAAAATTTGTTGGTTGTGATTAAAACAAATATGACATCTCAGAGTATTGTTTTCCCATTGAGAGCTATTCATATTTTCTAAAGATTTATAATAACATGTGTTTATGAGAAATATCGCTGTAACCTGCTGGCTAGATCATGTGTCATCCTCTGAAGTCCGTGACACTGTTTCATTTATCATACCCAAGAGAATCATGCTGAGCACCAGCAAGGTCAAGCTTTCAAAGCTTATCCATCCACACTCCATGCTTTATGCAAATGTTTCAATTACCCCCATTTTAGCTTTGGAAACTCTAAATTCATGACTTTCACCAGATTCTGCAGCTACGATGTAGTTAAACACATAATTCTAGTCACTCAATAACAATCTTAGTGCTTTATAACAGTGCACCAGTATATTAAATGTGCCATAGGATTCATTAGCTCTAGTGTTGCCAAGAACGCCATCTGCTAATTTATTCCCAGTTGAGTGGTTTAAAAGGGATCACAGGCTTCTGATGCTGCAATTGTTATTCAGGGAGAATACTACACACAGAATAGAATAAAAACAAATGCTTTAACATTCTAATGCAAAATAATGGGGTTTATAGAATGCCAATAATTAACTAAAATAAAATTCAACAGAGTTTTGGAACAGTAG